TCACTCTCGCGCCAAGCTATGCCAACCTCTTTATGGCCGACTGGGAATCCACGGCCATATGGGGAAGGCACGCTTGGTGTACGAACCTTGTAACATATTTTAGATATATAGACGATTTGTTTTTTTATCTGGGATGGCACAGAAGCTCTTTTTAACTCTTTTATCCACCACCTCAACATCAACAATAGAGGCATTACCCTAACCCACGAAACAAGTAAGGAATCTATAAATTTTTTAGACCTCAACATCTTCATTACAGACAATACCATCCACACCAAATTTTTTTTTAAAAAAGTCTGCGTCAACACAGCTATCGAAAGATCTAGCTGCCATTACATTGGTTGGAAAGTGCCCCTCAAAGCCAATTCCTTCGTCTCAGAAGGAACTGCTCCCAAATAGAAGATTTTAACAAACAATCAAATTATCTAAAAGAAAAATTTATTGAGAAAAATTACTCACCAACCCGCCTCAAGACCACTATAAATACCATCACCAAAAAAGATAGAGCAGACCTCCTAACTTTCAATACCCAACCCACCACCAACACCATGCCCCTTCCTGTTATTTTCAATTTTAATAACAAAAGTGGCCATGTCAAAAAAATTATCAAAAAACATTGGCACCTCTTAAAAGAAGACGAAATACTTAAAAATATTATACCTGACAAACCTAATGTTGTCTTTAGAGGTGCCCCAAACTTCAAATCCATTTTAACCACCAATTTTACAAAAGAAACCAAACCTACTTTTAATTCTTTTATGCCCAATGCCAGTGGCTTTTATAAATGTAAAAGATGCATTGTATGCAAAAACACAGACCCCTCTGTCCCTTCCAAAACCACCAGTTTTAAATCTAATATCACTAACAAAACCTATAAAATTAAAGATTTTATCAGTTGCAATACCAAAAATGTCATCTACTTGTTGGAGTGCCCTTGTGGTCTCCAGTATGTAGGTATGACCACAAGAAGTCTTAAAGTGAGACTGAGTGAACACTGTAGAAATATCAAAAAAGGCTACCTGAATCACTCAGTCTCCAAACACTTTTGTATACGTAATAACGACATAAGACACCTTAAATGCATCGGCATAAAAAAATGTATAATACCATGGAGAGGTGGTAACATTAAGAACATATTAGGTAAAGCTGAGATGGAATGGGTTTTTAATCTAAAAACTCTTACCCTATCTGGTTTAAATGTTGATTTTGACCTGTTTAATTTTATTTAAATTCCTATATACAACCCTTATCTACATGCTTTTATTCTTTATGTCTGGACCTAACCAACCCTCATAATAATAATCTTTTAATTTTTAATTTTTCATCTATACCTTTCCATTTATGTATCTTGTATTCTGTGTTATCTTTTAATTTTATTTTTATTTTTTATTTATTTTTATTATTTATATTTATTTTTATTTTATCTATTATTTTCATTTAACATCTGTAATATATTATTACTCTGGGGTATAATATAACCCCTATTTAAATCATTATGTTTGGGATTATATTACCCCCTTTTCATGCATACTCCATTTACATATATCTCTGTATCTCTGTACCTTTAAACCATCTACTTATGTGTTATTTATTAAAAAAAAAATTTTTTTTATGAACTTTAATCAAACAACTTTTTTTTTTCTCTTTATAAAACAACTTTCTCACCCTCGTTTTCACATTTAAATAATTTAAATGGACTCATCACCTTTATAACATCACTCCCATACTCTTGAATCCTAATTTTGAAAAGTTTTTAAAAATTGTCTCTGATTGGCCAATTACACTTTTGGCCCTATTTAAACAACCCCTGCCAGGTTACTACTTTTATCCCATTCTGAAGAAGCCGCTTATGGTGAAACGCGTTTATGGTTATTAATTCTGTATTTTACTGTGTATTTTAGATCAATAAAAGTTTTTTGGCTACTTTATTGTACCAATTCTCTTTTTATTGCACTCTCTATGCACTTTAAACAACTTTTTTTACCTATCCCTGGCATTTTAACCTTTCCTGGTTACTTTTACTTCCACTGGCAATTTTAAAGTTCCAGTACTCCAAGAAATCCTAGGTGGGGATCATACCACCAGCGCCTATCCATAGAGCAGTACCTCTGCTCTATCTTTGTGAGTATTATTTTATTTCCTCTACTACTCTCTTAACCTATCACAATTGAGAGCACTATTGCTGCTTTTTATTCTTCTATATTGGAGCCTTGGATCACCAGACGGTGCTGACGGACGTATCGCCGCTACATATCCTATAAGCGGGGATTATACCGCTGTACGCTATCCACACCAGAGCTGGCCATAGCTCCCTCAAATGTGAGTTTTTTACCTCTTCTTATCTGCACATTGAACCACATCAAAATTGAGAGCACTATTGTTGCTTTCTGTCTTTCTTTTTCCGAGTTCTGGACTACCAGACGGTGTTGACGGAGACCCCTCCCTACATATCCCATAAGCGGGGATTATACCGCTGTACACAATCCACACCAGAGCTGGCCATAGCTCTCTTGAATGTGAGTTCTCTACTTTTTGTTACCCATCACACCCTGAACTTTCATACTATACCATTAGTCGCCTCTACCTCTCTTGTATTTACATATACGGAACGGTCTACACCAGACGCATCCACAGAGGAACTCTATCAAGTATCCTAGACCATCTATTGGCACCCTAGCAATACTTTACTGGACTATCTACCCTTATTTGGCGCAGCCCTTCCATATCTTTTTGTATCTATCCACCGAAGGACCCGAGGGGTTTTCCTTCATTTGGGTTGCTGCCTACCTTGACTAATTTTGTGATTACTAGCGCTGAATTCTTTTTGTGTTTTTCACTCTCATAAGATTTGGAGCATTGCCGTGGTAACCACGGCAACGCTCCGTGCTCGCGAGAGGAGGACCCGGAGGAGCTGCAAACTGAGCTCCTGGGTCCTCCCTCTCCCTCCCCTGCCGGCTGCCAGCACAGTGCCTGCGGACCGGGGAGGGAGAGCTCTGATCTCTGATCTGTGATCAGAGGCACTTGGACAATGCGAGCCCTGCATTAGCCGGCAGGGGAGAATCTCGGGGGGGGGGGGCAATTGCCCCGTGGGCCCCCGCCGGATCCCCAGTGCTTGAGGCTCTATCACAGTGAGAGCATTTTGGTTGTGTGATATTTCTCTTTATAAAGTATTGTGTTATCATGTTATGAAAATCTATAAGGCAACTTCTGTACTGTATTGAAGGGACTGGTTGCCTCGAGCTCGAGCTTTCTTATACGCTCCAGTATATGTAAATGTTCTATTAACTTGATATATTTGTACTAATTATTAAATGGTGTTTCATATAAGAGTGAATACGCATCCCAAGATCACATTTTCCGTGGTAATTACACATTTAGTTCTCCACTTCACTGGATTTGTCTTTTCAATATCTAATTTTTATTAAAAGAATTCCAGAAGATACAGTAACTGTATGAATGACAACATGGGCAGTACAATCATGCAAGCATTGAGGTACTATGTACATAACAGGTTGTGATATTTTTTAGCAACCGGCTGTGAACATTATGTGACCTGATAATTCAGGACGAAGAACGTTCTTAAACATAGAATCGGGTGACAATGTTAGATCTCAAATGTCTACAAAATTGATTCACCGCTCCTATATCCTATCAATAGTCTGAGAATGTTTATGAGACTGTCTAGAGCTAATAGTGCCAAACGGCACTGAAGCTGCTAAAATGTGCACCTAGGTATATTCCATAAAGTGAGATAATAGAATATATAGGAAAAGAGGTGTAAAAGGAGAAAGGAAAGGGGGGAGAGGGGAGTGTCCTATGTAGATTATACCGGTGTATTAGTGTTTTGGAGAGAAAGAGAGAGAATCTCGTCAAGCACTTACCCAATAGCGCCCCATTCCCCCACATCATGGTGCCCTAAGGGCATGATTTTGTTAGGAGTGTTATTTTTTTTTCTGTGTCATTAGCAATTCCAGTCTCTATCATAATATATAGGAGATGAAGGTGTTCAGACGTCAACATGCTTTGACCAGTTTTGCCACATTGTGTTGTGGTCAGTTTCCTTGCCCCGAAGTCTACAGTGGAAAATGGAATCCACCCTATTCCAGACCTGAGGAGCGGGACTGACCCACAATCCTGACTTTGGCATCAATTATCATGTTGATTATTACATATGTGTGTCGGTGCTATATGTGCAAGAAAGCATTCTGGCTTGAAGAGAACATGTACTTTTGTGGGTGTATGTATGTTGTCTTGAATCTGATGCAAAAAGTGTTTCAGGGCTGAGAAATCCCAGAATATGTGTTTGACAGTACCTAAGTGAAGTCCTGGCTACATCTCCCGCATGTAGGAGAGATACCTTCATAGAATTTAGCTAATTTGGAAGGAAGGCAGTACCATCGTATCAGGATCTTATAAAATAAACTGCTAGGTGAGGATTTTGTGGTTTGAATAGCTTGCAACCACATTGGATTTAACAGGTTTTTAGTATTTTGTGTGTTTTTTTGTGATGAGCATGAAGTGTGGTAGCAGCTACCTTAAATAAATGATACATATGAAATTTAGATATCTTTGTTTGGTCTGGTTTTAAAGAGCTTTGCACAATCACTTATTAATATTGGTTTCCATTTATTTTATGATAGTTTTGTATTTTACATTCTGTTCGCTTATAGCTATATGTAATACCTTCTAGCTTCCTAATTCACATAATCTTAAGCACTTGTTTAATTGATACAATATTTCATCAATCATTTTCATTTTCCCATCCTGGAGAACCAGTCATAAAAGTAGAAATGGATGGAGGAGATATCTAATCGTACTTTGGGTTATTCAGTAATTTGGAAATTGTGGAGAATTAATCAGGAAATGCTCAATATTATGTAAAAACAATTCTTGACTTTTTAATTCGTTTTTTTTTAAACCTATTTTTATGCCTAAAATATTCAATTTCTTTCTCAGTTTGCTGGAATTCACAGTAAATAACCACAATAAATACACACAAATAAATAATCAAATTTATTTCATATTTAGATTTACATTTTTTACACCTTTTCTTTAATTTTTAACAGCAAAACAATAATTGTCAGAAGTATGCGATACGTGTAAAGTGGCAGAGGATAGATCAGGAACAAGCTGATGTTTCTCGTGTGGATCCTCATGGGCAGGTCCAACCTTAATAGTCAGAATATGGTAGTCCTTTATTAAAGGTACACTATAGTAACAACTATAGTAGTCTGTCCCTGCAGTCTTAGCACTGTAAACACTGTCTTTTCAGAAAAACAGGCAGTGTTTACATTACTTCCTAGTTACACCTCTAGTTGCAGTTACTCAGAGGGCCACTAGATGCATCCTAGCCTAGTGCTGTACAGTATGCTGCACCTATGTTCAGCATCTCCACACTCTGAAGTTTCCCCGTAGAGATACATTGATGCAATGTATCTCTATGAGGAAACGCTGATTGGCAAGGGCAGCGTTTTGCATACGCAAAAGCCTCTGGATTGGCTGAGAGCATCAAAACTGAGCTAGGGAGAAAAAGTAGGTGAAATACCTTGTTTCTCCATTCAAAGGGGGAGCTTGGGACCCTAATAGGTAGTCTAAATCTATAGTGTAAGGAATTCATGTTTGGATTTCCAACACTATAGTGTTTCTTCAACTCCTGAAATTGACAGAGTGCCTGTGATTGCAAGCATTTTCCAGTAAGAAGGGGGAACAACTGCTCCTCAGGATTTTAACTTTATGTTTTCTAATCCCTTTATTTAAGAAATATGTATGTGTGAGCTGCGAAAATCAAATCAAATGTAGAAATACACACCCTTTTATCCTGCAACTGGGCGCCTCCATCTGTAGATAGGCTTAGTGTGCCGCGTTAGGCTCTACCCCTACAGGTAGATCCTGGCCCCTCTCGTCAGGCCTTGCTGCCTGTGCCATCCGGTGACGATTGTGCGGGGGCTGGATCTACCTGAAAGGGGGCAGAGCCTAGAGCTGCAAACCCCGCCTATCTACAGCGCACCTGGGTGGTCCGCATCCCACCAGGATTAGCTCTGCCTCCTTCATTAGCAATCTATGTCCTGGATTTGCCTTGTCTGGATTATGATATAATTTGCTAAATATTAAATACATATTTTAAAGAACAATGGTTAATTCAAGTTATCAGTGTTTTTCGATGTTTTATTCACTGGTACAAATTCCAAAGAAGTGACCATTCCCCTTTAATGTTTCTGTGGTAATAAACTAAGAACATATTTAGTGTCAGTATGACCAGTTGCTAATGAGGCGATGTTAAACAGTTGGACTTATTGTATAAGCATTTCATTTCGGAGGTGGATTAAGAATCAGGTAATATATGTTGTTGGTCACTGTATCTGTGGTGTGGGTTGACCCTGTCCTGACAACGTGCTAATTAAATCTGGAGCCTGACCACAACGGGCCGCAGAGTGACTGTTCCATTCTTTTTTTGGATTTTTTATTTTGGAGATGAATTGACACGTCAATGTGATATAGCTGAGAGATATTAGAGAAATGAAAAATAATGGGTTTGTTTTTGTCGAACGGTATCTGGCCAACAGGAACTTTTTCTCAATTTGTTACAGTACTGACAAAATGGGAACCGGAGATCATAACGGTGGCGATCCAATCAGCGCTGCCGCTACACTAATAAAAAACATCAGGAACCCCTGGCGGTAATTCACAGTCCCCGAACAAATGCCGTAGAGTCCCCTGGTGTTACAGTAATCACTGGTACAGCAATATATGGGATTGTCGCTGTTACTGTTATTACGGACGCAGGATACTGCACAGTCTTTAATAACCAAATATGGATTTTCTAAAGTACAAGAAAACAACATAATCAGTTTCAATTATCATATATTTGCATATAGTTAATTTTAAATAAATCTATTTCCTTTCAAAACCCGATGAAAGTATTACTATATTAGGTGGCAATTGTCCTTTAAAATTTTACTTTTTTTAATCCAATAAGTAGACAAAACTTTCATATTTCATATTATCTTGGCTAAAGGCACAAATTAACTGCTCTACCCTCCATGTTCTTTTCTGGACTACTATCAGTCTGCATAATGTTGGGCTATATGTGAATGTGCAATAAAGTTTCAAATCTAAACATTAGATCTCTCTTTACAGGAAATGTGTAGGGAGACTGTGTGAGTCACAGCCGGGGGGTGTGTGGCCAGGGCTGCATAAACAAAATGACATAACTTCTAAATGCTAGAGAATTGAACAGTTAAACTACACGGAATTGATTTATACACCAAAACCCCTTCATTAAGCTAAAGCTATGTTGGTGCTTAGCGTGTCCCTTTTAATGTGAACTGCTTTTTTCATTTGATTTGGTTGATTTATGTAATTGATGCTGAGATGCTGTGTGATCAATGAAAATGTGAAGATATTGTCCTTCTGTGTGCAATTAGAGGGGTTATTGATTTTTAGCATGGAAGATATGCTTGTTTGCTTAGCGTATAATGTCTTTATATCTATAGGAACAAGTAATATACTCACCGTTCCGTTTACTATATTCTGTAGTTTTGCAGATCGTTTGACCAACGGGGCATTCTTTTATTCTTGTACAGTTTACGGCATCAGTTTGATTCGGACAGAAAAAACAACTTAATGACGCAGCTAAAAAAATAAAATAAAATGTTAAGATGAACTATTATTGAAGGTTTTCATACAGCTATTAATATGAGAGGCCAGATGGTAAAAATAATAACTGTATACATTTTGTAGTGTGATCTTTTATAATTATTTCTTTATTAAACGGTTTTATTTAATTCCATTTAATTTCTCGTTTGCACATTGGTTTACAGATCTCGTATATGCTTGTTTTAATCACTTTCATTATTTTACGATTCCTGCCTAAAGGTGAGAGTTGATTTACTCCATAATTCCTGTCAGTGGCGGAACTACATGTGTGGACTGCATTTCCCACAATACTCTTACAACCATACTGCTGGCAAAGCATCATGGGAGATGTAGTCCACAATATCTCGAGTGCCGAAGGTTGCCTACCCCTGTTCTAGAGGATCAGTTGGCAGCTCAGATCATGTTCATTGTGTAAACAGAAACATTGTTCTGTCTGAAACTGAAAACTACAAATACTTCTCACTGGAAAATTTATAATAATTTAACTTCAAATCCACTATCCAAAATAAAGAATTTTTGGGGGTAAAAACTCGAAATTTATCAGAACATCAAATATTTTTTCCAGCTTTCCCATTACATGATACTCAGACATCATAGTGTTAATCATGCTAACGTTTTGCAAGTCTGTTGATAAAAGTGTGAACTGTCCCAAATGCAAAGTGAAGTTTACATGTTGGGAAAATATAGCCAAGCAATAGCCAAGCAAAAAAAATCTCTTAGTCAGTCATTATTAGGTTATCCTCAGTTATAGCCAATCAGTACAATCTCCCAGTCAGCCGTTATCAGTTTGGCCTCAGTTATAGCCAATCAGTACAATCTCCCAGTCAGCCGTTATCAGTTTGGCCTCAGTTATAGCCAATCAGTACAATCTCCCAGTCAGTCTGGCATCAGTTATAGCCAATCAGTAAATCTCCCAGTCAGCCGTTATCAGTTTGGCCTCAGTTATAGCCAATCAGTACAATCTCCCAGTCAGCCGTTATCAGTTTGGCCTCAGTTATAGCCAATCAGTACAATCTCCCAGTCAGTCTGGCCTCAGTTATAGCCAATCAGTACAATCTCCCAGTCAGTCTGGCCTCAGTTATAGCCAATCAGTACAATCTCCCAGTCAGCTGTTATCAGTTTGGACTCAGTTATAGCCAATCAGTACAATCTCCCAGTCAGCCGTTATCAGTTTGGCCTCAGTTATAGCCAATCAGTACAATCTCCCAGTCAGCCGTTATCAGTTTGGCCTCAGTTATAGCCAATCAGTACAATCTCCCAGTCAGCCGTTATCAGCTTGGACTCAATTATAGCCAATTAGTACAATCTCCCAGTCAGCCGTTATCAGTTTGGCCTCAGTTATAGCCAATCAGTACAATCTCCCAGTCAGCCGTTATCAGTTTGGCCTCAGTTATAGCCAATCAGTACAATCTCCCAGTCAGCTGTTATCAGTTTGGACTCAGTTATAGCCAATCAGTACAATCTCCCAGTCAGCCGTTATCAGTTTGGACTCAATTATAGCCAATCAGTACAATCTCCCAGTCAGCCGTTATCAGTTTGGACTCAATTATAGCCAATTAGTACAATCTCCCAGTCAGCCGTTATCAGTTTGGCCTCAGTTATAGCCAATCAGTACAATCTCCCAGTCAGCCGTTATCAGCTTGGACTCAATTATAGCCAATCAGTACAATCTCCCAGTCAGCCGTTATCAGTTTGGCCTCAGTTATAGCCAATCAGTACAATCTCCCAGTCAGCCGTTATCAGCTTGGACTCAATTATAGCCAATTAGTACAATCTCCCAGTCAGCCGTTATCAGCTTGGACTCAATTATAGCCAATTAGTACAATCTCCCAGTCAGCCGTTATCAGTTTGGCCTCAGTTATAGCCAATCAGTACAATCTCCCAGTCAGCCGTTATCAGCTTGGACTCAATTATAGCCAATCAGTACAATCTCCCAGTCAGCCGTTATCAGCTTGGACTCAATTATAGCCAATTAGTACAATCTCCCAGTCAGCCGTTATCAGTTTGGCCTCAGTTATAGCCAATCAGTACAATCTCCCAGTCAGCCGTTATCAGTTTGGCTCATTATAGCCAATCAGTACAATCTCCCAGTCAGCCGTTATCAGTTTGGCCTCAGTTATAGCCAATCAGTACAATCTCCCAGTCAGCCGTTATCAGCTTGGACTCAATTATAGCCAATCAGTACAATCTCCCATTCAGCCGTTATCAGTTTGGCCTCAGTTATAGCCAATCAATACAATCTCCCAGTCAGCCGTTATCAGCTTGGACTCAATTATAGCCAATTAGTACAATCTCCCAGTCAGCCGTTATCAGCTTGGACTCAATTATAGCCAATTAGTACAATCAGTCAGTCATATCAGTTTCCACCGCTATAGCCAATCAATACAATCTCCCAGTCAGTCATATCAGCTGACCCAATTATTATAACAATCAGTACAATCTCCAGTCAGCCGCTATCAGCTCTGACCTCAATTATAGCCAATTAGTACAATCTCCCAGTCAGCCGTTATCAGTTTGGCCTCAGTTATAGCCAATCAGTACAATCTCCCAGTCAGCCGTTATCAGCTTGGACTCAATTATAGCCAATTAGTACAATCTCCCAGTCAGCCGTTATCAGTTTGGCCTCAGTTATAGCCAATCAGTACAATCTCCCAGTCAGCCGTTATCAGCTTGGACTCAATTATAGCCAATCAGTACAATCTCCCATTCAGCCGTTATCAGTTTGGCCTCAGTTATAGCCAATCAATACAATCTCCCAGTCAGTCTGGCCTCAGCAGGGCCGGACTGGGAAAAAAATTAGGCCCGGGCATTTTTCAATCAGAGCAGCCCCCTAAGAAGGGGGCGGGGCCAGAGAGTGTGTGTTTTGTCATCACTAATGACAAGCACGCCCCCTCTGAAAGTGAGCATGTTGGTTCAATGCGCAGAGCCCCGCTGAAGAGCTCTAGCATTAGAAAAAGGCCCTGTATTTGTTCTGCGCACCACAAGCAAATTTAATAACATGCTTGTGCTGTGTTTGCTTTTAAATTGTCTCTGGTGTCTCCACAAGTGGGATACCAGAGGACAAAAGGGCCAGGAAAGTGTATGGTGCATGTGTTTGGAGCCTGCTTGTGGGATTGCGTGTGTGTAGAGTGTGGTGTGGTGTGGTATTGTGTAAATAGGTCAATTTAATTTGTGTTTGTGGTGTAATATGTGTGGCTAGGGGCTGTAGAGAGTGTGTGTATAGGGGGCATAGTTTTATAGGGGATGCAGCGAGTGTGTGCATACGGGCTGAAGTGTGTGTGTATAGGTGAAGTAGTGTGTGTAGGGGTTGCAGAGAGGGTGTGTTTAGAGAATGTTGTATGTGTTTGCTGACAAGGAATGTAGTGTGTGTGTGTGTAGGAGATCTACTGTGTAAAGGACCCAGTGTGTGTGTGTGTGTGTGTGTATAGAGGATTAAGAGTGCATATAGGGTAAGGGATCTAGTGTGTATCTGGAGTGTAATGTGTGTAGTGGTGCAGTGTGAGGGGTGCTGTAGTGTGTGTGTGTGTATGTATATATATATATATATATATGGACTTATTGTATGTGTGAGGGGCGCAGTGTGTGTATGTAAGAGGGGTGCTGTGTGTGAGGGTGTTTTTATCTGCTGTCACATTCTAGGTTTCTAATTTTCTTTGTCTGTTAACTCACTGAGGGTTATTTTATATATATATATATATGTGTGTGCTGTATATGTGTGTGAGTGTGCTGTGTGTGTGTGAGTGTGCTGTGTGTGTGTGTGAGGGTGCTGTGTGTGTCTGGGTGCTGTGTGTGTTTGGGGGTGCTGTGTGTGTCTGGGGGTGCTGTGTCGGTCTGGGGGTGCTGTGTCGGTCTGGGGGTGCAGTGTGAGTTTGGGTGCTGTGTCTGGGGTGCTGTGGTGTGCTGTGTGTGTCTGGGTGTGCTGTGTGTGTCTGGGTGCTGTGTGTGTGTGTCTGGGCACTGTGTGTGTCTGCGCTGTGTGTATGGGTGCTGTGTGTCTGCGCTGTGTGTGTTCAGCGCTGTGTGTGTTCGGGTGCGCTGTGTGTCTGAGGCGCTGTGTGTGTCTGCGCTGTGTGTGTCTGGGGGTGCTGTGTGCGTCTGGGGTGCTGCGTCTGGGCGTGCGTGTCTGGGGTGCTAAAACAAGCGTGTGTCTGGGTGCTGTGTGTGTCTGAGGGCGCTAAAAGCGTCTGGGGTGCTGTGCATGTCGGTAAAGCACCTGGGGTGCTGTGTGTGTCTGGGTGTTTGTGTGTTTCTGGGGTGCCATGGTGTGTCTGGAGGGCGCTGTGTGTGTCTGCGTGCTGTGTGTCTGGGGTGCTGTGTGTGTCTGGGAGGTGCTTGCGTCTGGGTGCTGTGTGTGTCTGGGGGTGCTATGTCTGGGTGCTGTGTGTGTCTGGGTGCGCTGTGTGTGTCTGAGGGTGCTGTGTGTGTCTGGGGGGTGCTATGTGTGTCTGGGGGTGCTGTGTGTGTCTGTGTTTGTCTGGGTGCTGTGTCTGGGTGCTGTGTGTGTGAGTGAATGTATTTTTTATTTAAATTTACATTTTTTTTTTTATTATCCTGGGAGGGGAAGTGGGGGGGGAGGAGATCCATTCTGCCTGGGGGGTGGGGAGCCATGCTGCCTTCCCTGGTGGTCCAGTGGTGAGAGGGAACTCTAACCCGTGGGTTAGAGTTCACTCTCGCGAGATCTGAGCGTTGCCGCGGTAACGGTAACCGCGGCAACGCTCAGAATCCCGCGAGAGGACCCGGCGGAGCTGCTGGTTAGAGCTCCGCCGGTCCTCTCTCATCCCTGCCTCCCTCCGTCCACAGCCTGCGGCCGCCTGTAACACTACCTCTGGGCTGGTGAGGGAGATCTTTGATCTCCCCACCGGCCCATGGAGGCACATAGCAGGGCCGGCGCTCGGATAGCGCTGATCCTGCAGGGGCCGGCCGGGGAGATCCTGTGATCTCCCTGCCTGCCTCGGCCCCACGGCCATCGCGGCCCACCGGGCATTTGCCCGGTATGCCCGAAGGCCAGTCCGGGCCTGGGCCTCAGTTATAGCCAATCAGTACAATCTCCCAGTCAGCCGTTATCAGTTTGGCCTCAGTTTGAAGCATTTTAAATTCCCTCTGAATTCCTGTCAATTCACAATTTAATTTCTAATTATGCTGGAGAAACAAAAGATTCATTTTTCAGGAAATACACTGCAATGACAAGCAACCCCCTCAGGTTAAATTATGAAATCACGACACAGTACGGAGACAAACTACATGAAAACAAGTTAAAAATCTAGAATTGTGCAAACAAATAAGGCAAACAATTTGTAAAAAGATTTTTTTTTAAAAAGAATCCAGATTCTTACCAGGATTAAACCATAAGGCCAGACTTGCCAGGAGCAGAGTAAATCCTTTCATATTGGATGAGAGAGGTTCTCCAAGTGCCCGAATAATGCCCAATGTGTGATTTATATAACAGCCAAACCCTAGCTCATTAGCATACATGATGAAGCTGTGAAAACCATGTCTTTCTTGTTACTGTGTGACCTGAGATGGGTGTGATTGGCGTTGTATAATATGTTAGGTATGTTCTACAGATCTCCTTTCAAAATGAATTCCAAGAACGGAGAGCACAGCCAGTGTATCTCTGCAATCAGACACATTTTGTAATACATGTTATTTAAGCTTTACTGAATTTTTAACATTAAAAGGAGAACATTCACAGCATGAAATGAGGGATATTCCACACATGTGACAGTGTGACAGACTTTATTGACAACACAGGGTGTGAACCCCTGAAACGAGCTTCTCCTGGTCCCTAAAAATATCAAAACTAAATGCTGGCTGTCACAGTGATTCATCAGTAAAATTTACATTTCAAGATCAATATGTGATCCCAGATTTAGAAGAATTGCAAGCCGGATAGCGTAAAGTCTACAGCTCTCATTCATGCACAAAATGGGCAAAATCCTTGTTCATTTGTACAAATCAGTACTGAAAGTATGTTTAGAGCAGTATTAAGGCTGTCCAGGGTCCTAGGCAGGATGCCAGCTTGTAGACCCCTCTTTTGAATGTTATGTATGTGTGACGGAGTCAGGGTTGTATTTAATATTGATGGAACCCTGGGAAAGCATTTGCTTGGGCCCCTGGACCCTGCTCCCTCTCCCTAGCATTCAATCACACCCTCTACCACAACACAGTGGCAAACTAACGTTAAAAGGAGATCTTTTGGGCCCTGTTGTCATGAGGGTGGCTAAAAGGTAGATTCCCTTCTGTCGTGCAGCTCCAGTAATGCTTTGACAGCTGGGGCGCTACCATTTACCCATGCTTGTAGAATTGTGTTTAGCACTGAGCAGTGTTTGTGTGTTTTAATGTAAGCATTTTGTATGGAGTATGTTTGTGTGAATGTGACGGTTTGTTTGTATGTGGTGTTGGTTTTTGAATGCAGGGTTGTGTTTATATATAATTTTGGTGTTTAACCCCTTAAGGACGGTGGGTATTCTATGCCGTCCTTAAGGGACCGGTCCTAAACGCCAGCAGGAAGCCCAGAATATTCCCGCCAACCTTATTACTTACTGCCTCCCTGCCGTTCCCCTGACGGGGTCGCAAACCTGGGGACGGCATGAGAGCCCAGGTAGTCCCCCCTCTGGAAAATTAGCCTTCCCAGGCCATGTGATCACCAGGTCGTAATGATCACATGGCCGGAATAGCTGTCTGCAGCTCTGCCTGCAAGGGGGTTGCCTGGGCTGTCAGGCAGTCCCAAATATGCATGTTTCAAAGTTTTTAAAAGTTAATAAAAGTTTAAAAACTGTTTATAAATTAAATGAAAGTACTTTTATATGCACATACACACACTTTCATTCTAAGTGTATTTCAGTATTAATAATATATATATATTTAAATATTTTTAAAAATATTACCGCCATGATGGCATACCATTTGCAAAAGTAAACAACCCATGGGTATAGTTTTATTTTGTATATGGGGCAAATTTGTTTGTGTGTGAAAAATTCAAAAGAAAAATATGGACGTTAGCTTTGGCCAGTGTTTCTGACTAAGTGGCCACTAAAAAAGACTGGACATACCCAATTTGCAATACCTTGGTTTGTCTGCTTTTGCAAATGGTATGCCATCATGGGGGTAATTCTCATTCCTGGGCTACCATACGCTCTCAAAGGCAACGTAACCAATCTGGAGAATTTCAATGTGAAAAGTGTAACGTGCTATATTTGACCCTTTAACTTCCCACAACACCATAAAACCTGTACATAGGGGGTACTGTTTTACACGTGAGACATCACTGAATTCAAATATGTGTATTTCATTGCAGTAAAAGCAAACAGTACGATAACATTCACTAAAAAAATAAAAGCATTTCTTAATTTCTAACTTTTTGTTAGATAACATTAAATTATGTTTCATATATGAATATTTGATGTAAAATGAAAGCCCTATTTCATCTTAACAAACTGAGATATAATAAGTGCGGGTGCACTTAATATGAAAGAGGTGAATTACGCCTGAACAGACAGAAAGCACAAATTCCAGCTGTTTGTTTTGATTTTGTTTTGATCACAATGTGTACAATTACCTCGGTCCTTAAGGGGTTGACAGAGAGGTAGGTTTGTAGTTGACATTTCAATGCAGGAGTGTGTTTGCATGTAGTGTTGGCATTTGAATGCTGAAATGTATGCACATATACACATACACTGCGGGTGGTGCGAACCGCACCAGGATCCATTGGGGGAGGGGGGGTGCAGTGACACCAGGGCCGGACTGGCCTACTGGGACATTTCCCAGGGTGCTGCTGTGTGCTGTGATCAGCCTCAAGACAGTCTGCGCTTCAGCGGGTCGTGGCCCATCGCGTGCTTTTGCGACCAGCCACGGCCGCAAGAGCATGAAGTATTTGTCCACACCGGCCGCCAGATATGAACAGTGCGTGATGTCATACCCGGCGGTAGTGCGCAGAGTGGCTGGCTATCTGCATACCAGGCCAGCCACTCACTCCTCCTTCCCTCCTGCTCGCAGTACCTACTTGATCAGAGAAAGATTGTGCAGGCCGGGCTGGAACTGGTAGACAGATCATCTTGAGGTAGGGGAAGATGAGTTGTAGTATGTTAAATTGTGGGGAGGGCAGTATTAAGGGACACTGGCGGGGAGGGAGAGACAGCACTAAGGGACACTGGGGGGGGAGACAGCAGTAAGGGACACTGGGGGGCAGACAGCACTAAGGGACAGGGGAAGACAAACACTAAGGGACACTGGGGCAGCAGTAAGGACACTGGGGGGGCAGACAGCACCTAAGGGACAGGGGAGACAACGCTAAGGGACACTGGGGAAGAGACAGCACTAAGGGAGGGGGAGACAGCACTAGGGGGAAAGATGTAGGGAGGAAAGACCACTAAGGGAAAGATGGGGGGCACTAAGGGACAGATGTAGAGAGGCTCAGAAGCACAGAGCCTCTCTACATCTACAAGCACAGAGAGGCTCAGAAGCACAGAAGGGCTGGTAGGGGAGACAGAGACACACAGAGAGGCTCAGAAGAGAGACACACAGAGTCCCTTGTGAGGGAGACACACAGAGGGGATGGGGGGGTAAACACCAAGGAGCTGGGAAGAGTAAGACACAAAGGGGCTAGGGGGAGTAAGACACACAACATGGGTTTGGAGTATGTAGGAGACATACAAAGAGGGGGGGGGGGTAAGAGACACACAAGGGGCTTGTAAAAGATACACTAAAGGGGGGTGTAAGACACAAAACATAAAGAAAAAATATACCAAAAAATATATATTAACAAAATAAATATAATAAAAATAAAGAGATGCTCCTCTCTCAACCCCTATCCTATCCCATCCTATCCCACAAATCCTCTCTTTCACACTACACACATACACAATGCATCCTTACACATACACAGAAACACACAATGCATGCCTACACACACATGCACAGAAACATACAATGCATCCCTACTCACATACAGACACCCCGGAACATGCAATGCATCCTACACTCACTCAGAAACACACCATGCTTTCCTTACACACACACAGAAACACACAATACATCCATTACACACACACACACACACACACACACACACACAAACACATACCTCACAATACACACACACAATGCAGCCCTTGCACACATACACATAAGCACACCTTGCATCCCTTACACAAACTGGTATCCATATACACTACATTCCATAAGAACACACACACATTACATCCTCTACAATAACACATAACACATCCCCTACACACATACACTTCACTTCCTGTGAGCAAACTCATGGGTGGGCCTTGTAGGCAGGGCTCGAGTCCTGCAGGAACGCATGGGAACGGCGTTCCTGCACTTTTTCCAAAGCAGGAACGCTGTTCCCGCTAGTAATCCTAGTAATGCACACAGGGGCCCAGCACACTCTGTGTTCCCACTCCAGCTCTGCCTCACATTCGCGAGTCCCGCAGCCAGCAGAGCATTGCCACGGGTTACCATGGCAACGCTCCGCACAGCACGCAGGCGGGTCTCGTGAGATTTAGAGCTGGAGAGGGAAAACAGAGTGTGCTGGGCCCCCGTGTACAGCGGCTGGCTCCCTCCACCGGACCACCAGACAATCTCCCCCCTCCCTGACACGGTAGGAAGCAGGGGGGGGAATAAAACAAAAAAAATATACAGACATAAATTGGAAAAAAAAAATGCTTCCTCCCCAACACATACATCATCCAGCACATACACACACGCACATCATCCAGCACATACATACACACACACATCATCCAGCACATACACACACACATCATCCAGCACATACATACACACACACACATACACACACATTATCCAGCACATACACACACATCATCCAGCACATACATACACACACACACACACACAACACATCATCCAGCACATACACACATCATCCAGCACATACATACACACACACATCATCCAGCACATACATACACACACACATGCACATCATCCAGCACATACATACACACACACACATCATCCAGCACACAAACACACATCATCCAGCACACACACATCATTCATCACACACACACACACACATCATCCAGCACACACACACATCATTCTGCACACACACATCATCCAGCACACACATACACATCATCCAGCACACACACACACACACATCACACATACATCATGCAGCACACACACATATCACTCCACACCATCCAGCACACACACACATACATATCATCCAGCACACACACACACATCATCCAGCACATACACACACACACATCATCCAGCACATACACACACACATCATACAGCACATACATACACACACACACATCATCCAGCTCAAACACACATCATTCAGCACAAACACACATCATCCAGCACACACACACACATATCATCCAGCACATACACACACATCATCCAGCACATACATACACACACACACAACACATCATCCAGCACATACACACATCATCCAGCACATACATACACACACACATCATCTAGCACATACATACACACATCATCCAGCACATATATACACACACACATGCACATCATCCAGCACATACATACACACACACATCATCCAGCACACAAACACACATCATCCAGCACACACACATCATTCATCACACACACACACACACACACATCATCCAGCACACACACACATCATTCAGCACACACACATCATCCAGCACACACATACACATCATCCAGCACACACACACACATCACACATACATCATGCAGCACACACACATATCCATCCACACAATCCAGCACACACACACATACATATAATCCAGCACACACACATCACACACACATCATCCAGCACACACACACATCATTCAGCACGCACACATCATCCAGCACACACACACACCATCCAGCACACACACACACATCATCCAGCACATACACACACACTCACACATCATCCAGCACATACACACACACATCATCCAGCACATACATACACACACACACATCATCCAGCACAAACACACATCATTCAGCACACACACACATCATCCAGCACACACACACATCATTCAGCACGCACACATCATCCAGCACACACACACACCATCCAGCACACACACACATCATCCAGCACACACACACACATCATCCAGCACACACACACACACACACACACATCATCCAGCACACACACATCATCCAGCACACACACACACTCATCCAGCACTCCACACATCATCCAGCACACACACACACCATCCAGCACACACACACACTCATCCAGCACATACACACACCTCACACATCATCCAGCACATACACACACACACATCATCCAGCACATACATACACACACACACACACCATCCAGCACAAACACACACTCATCTCAAAGCACACACACACACCACATCCAGCACACACACACACACACCATCCAGCACACACACACACACACACACATCATCCAGCACACACACACTCATCCAGCACACACATCATCCAGCACACACACACACACACATCATCCAGCACACACATCACACACACATACATCATCCAGCACACACACATCATCCAGCACACACTCATATCACACATATCATCCAGCACACACATACACACACATCATCCACCACACACACACATCATCCAGCACACACACACACACACACACACACATCATCCAACACACACACACATCATCCAGCACACACACATCACCCAACACACACATCATCACACACGCATCTTCCAGCACGCACACACGCACATCACCCAGCACACACGCACATCACCCAACACACACACGCACACACACTGCATTCATTATACACAATCTGCACGTACTACAAACACACTACATTCACTACACACTGCATTCATTATACGCTCTGCACTCAATACAAACATACTACATTCACTATACACACTCTACACTCACTACAAACACACTACATTTATTATACACACTGCACTCACTACAAACACACTACAGTCATTATACACACTCTGCACTTACCACACACACAGTACATTTATTATACACACGCTGCATTCATTATGCACACTCTGCACTCACTACAAACACACTACATTCACTATACACACTCTGCACTCACAACATTCACTACACACACTACATTCACTATACACACTCTGCACTCACTACATTCACTACACACACTGCATTCATTATACACACTCTGAACTCACTACAAACACACTACATTCACTATATACACTCTGCACTCCCTTCAAACACACTACATTCATTATACATAGGAGTGACCACCTAAGCCACCTTCAGGGTAATACAGCAGTAATATTTTCAGTAAGTTAAGCGAGATTTTATGAAACTATCTAACTTTATATATTCAGAGAAGATTGTCTAATCTAATGGACTCTTTGTCAGATGTGGAATATTAAACAGCTGTCAGGTGAGAGATGAAATGTAATTGTTATGAATGTAACACATTATATCAGGTGATCCAAGGCCAGTATTCTCTGTGTATCTGCAATTATGAGGCTCAATGTCTGTGTCCAATCATAAAGTATAAAAAATGTATTTCAAGTGGCTTTGAAGTACAAAACGGTTTAGGCACTTCAAGGTTCAGAAGTGGCAAATTTATTGAAGCCCAATGTAACACAACGTTTTGACCTACACGGTCTTTGTCAAGTTCGACATTTGTCAGCTTGACAAATACCATGTAGGTCGAAACGTTGTGTTACTTCATGCTTCTGGTTATTGGGACCTGTTACTTGATCCAGCTTTGGTTGCACCCTGGCTCAGAGTGATGGGCTTGAGTGCAGTTCTTTATTGTTTTGTTAAAAGTGGTGTTGTCACAGTCAGGTCTTCATATTTTTTGCTAGGGAGTATTGTGGGAATGGGCACAACTCGACGGCTGAAGCTCCACGTTCTGTCAATCTGTGACTTGACCATAACACAAAGTAATCATTACTTCATCTCACGACTCAACAAGAGCATTTCATAAATATTGTATAATCTAATGATTAAATAAACTGTAATGATGCAATGAGCTGTAATGATAAAACAGGATTTAATGATACAATAAGCTGTAATTATACCATGAGCTGTAATAATACAATAAGCTGCAAAAATATACTAAACTGTATTGATACAATGAAAAGTGATATTTTTTTTTACTATGTCTGATTATCTTCTGGAAAAAAGGGATACTTTAATTATAGGTGTATGAGTGTCGGTGTGAAAAATGTATACAACTAAAATTGAATTTAGCAGAACATGTATCTGTTTTACCTAGACACACCAACTAGAAGAGAGAGGCAGTAGGATGGAAAATAGAGACAATGGGATTTAGGCTCCAAATAGTGACTGTCCATCCTAAATAGGGACAGCTATGCATTAACTAAGTGTATTTTGAGGTCAAGATCAGAAAAAAATTGGTGTCTGCTAAAATATTAGTCTTGAATGCCATCTAAAATCTGGCATTCGTGGGAATTCAGCTTTTTAAAATACCAGCAGAATGGAAAATGAATGTGTATATATTGGCAGAATTACATCAAGTATCTGTATAATGTATCTGAGGTTGCTATTGCAGGTCAGTGGCTCGATGTGCCCCACGCAGTCTTGAAATTTGACCTACAACAGGTGTTGTAAAGTGTGAGAGAACAGGTGGCTGAAAGTTACAGTCTCTCTGCAAGAAAGCAAAAAGGCAGAATGCAACTCAGATACATTTCTCGTACATTGGCTCTTGTTGGTTAAATTTAGTTAAATTTTATTATTAGATTTTGTTTCACGCTAGAAAATTACTTTGTATGTATATATTAACAAGAAACAGAAATAAGTATACAGTCACAGTAAAAACAGAGAAGATAACAGTTATCTATATAGTATAATATTGTGTAGCAATGACTGGATGTATAACTCAGTGATGTAGCAATGTGATACAGAGAGTTTTGGAAAAGATCTGCGTTTATATTCTCCATCCTTGCTCCATCAGGGAAGGTTTTCTACCAAGGTTTTAGTGATAACATTTCTGTTTTCCACAAGACCCTAGCATGTACCGAATTCATATTACATCCATTCTCAGTGCAACAGAGGAGAACATCTAATTGGGACATCGCAGCAATTGCTGTGCATGTGCTTTAAGTCCACAATGCTTTATGAGAAGCATTTGATTGGACAAAACCCAATAAGAAACCTGATGACATTAGCAGAGATGGGTCAGGCTGCGGAGAAGAGTCTATTGTGGTGCTGGTGAGTAAAGAGGTAATCCAGTTCCATTTTACTTAAGAGGGAGACCGCGGAATCTAACTATTTGATGCAAAGAACAAATGTCATGGGGCACTGTAACCCTGAACCACGCCACCAATGAAGGCTAACTACATTTCTAAGATCCTAATCCCATTTGATTTGTGCATATAATTACCCATTATATCATTGGCTGCCTTTATTTTATACAGAGCTTTCCTCCACCGCCACCACCACATCTTGCCCTTTCTCATGAGACATCAATCTCTTGGTGATTGGGGCAGGAGGTAGCGTTTATGTAGATTGGGCAGAGTCAGATTTCAGTGATGGAGTCTAACGTCTTAACGTCCGAAAGCTACCCTAGCCTCCATTCCTATTTACTCACAATGCTGCTTCGTCTATGAAATACAGTGAGCCAAATAGCATCAGTGAGAAAAAGGCCCAGGATGAATGTTTCAGGGGAAAAATATTCGGATCACATAGAAATTTGCCTTCAATGTAATCTGACTGAGAGTAAATTCTAGCATAATAAAGCTTGGTGAAGAGGCCAGGTTTGCTACCGCAATATAGAGAGCTGAAGAGCTCGGGACAATGCAATATTTATCTCCAAAAGTTTCCTAAAACTCATGGACTTCAGTCATCTTCAGATGATGCTCTTATGAAAATATTGGATTTTTTTACAGTATCTAATCGACTAATAAGTCCAGTACAGGACCCATGTTAAACCCACTGATATAGTCATTACACCATAGCTCTGGGGGACAATGCCCGTTGAGTTTGCGTTGTGGTCCGAAGTCCAAAACAATCCTCTGTTGTTGCAGTAGTCACTTGTGCAGCAAAACACTGGACGATCGTTTCCAAGGACATCTTGACTTGTCTCAACGCAGGACTTGGCACAAGATCTTGTCACTACTTCTTCCCCGTTAAAAGGATAACCTGAAATGTAAGAAGGGGAAAATCAGACAAAAAGTTATGTTTCTTTTTCTAGCTAACGGTAATGTATCATAAGAAAACTGAGCTTTAACTGTATGTGTTTTTTTTAAAGTATGTTTACTGTATAATAGACATGTGCAATTCGTTTTGGGCAGAATATGAATTTAGATGAATTTCAGGAAATTCGGACATTCGGGTACTTCCGAATAGCCGAAGTGCTGAATTGCAGAAGTGCCGAATTACTGAGGTCCCGAAGTTCCAAAATTACCGCATTTCCAAAGTGTCTAAGTGCCGAAGTTCCGAAGTGCTGAAGTGCCGAAGTTCCGAAGTTGCCGAAGTTCTGAAGTGCCGAATTGCCGAAGTTCCGAAGCACAGTATTGTCTGAGTACTCATATACTTACCCAGTGGAAGAAGAAGAATGTTACACTGTATACAATTTTAAATAAAAAGTATACAAACATAGCCAGGATTCAGCTGTGAGCATTTGCAACACTTACAACAATCAAGTAACATACATTTATATAAAATGTGTTACTAAGCCAGTCATGTAATGACAGGAATGAATAAGTAGATAACTCCCTAATTCCCACGGTATTAGGGCGCTATCTACTAAGAGGCTGAAAGACCTAAATTGGTCTTTCAGACAAATTTACTGATACTAAGTAAACATTACTTAGTATTAGTAAATTATGCCCCTACTCGCTATACCGCGAACCTGTGGCTGCTCTGTAAAAAACAAACAAAAAAAACGTCCCCCCTCCCCTCCTAACCTGAAGGGGGGACCTATTGCTCCCCCCCGCCCCCACCCCTGAATGGCAGGTGGGGGCCCTAAAGTAAAATAAGGGGGGACCTATTGTCCCCCCCCGGCCCCCACCCATGAGTGGTGGGTGGGGGTCCTAAAGTACAGTAGTTAGGGGGACCTATTGTCCTCCCTCTCCAGCCCCCACCCCTGAGCGGTGGGTGGGGGCCCTAAATACTAAATAGGGGGGGACTTAATGTCCTCCCCTCTGGCCCCCACCCCTAAACGGTGAGTGGGGGCCCTAAATACTAATTGGGGGGGACCTAATGTCATCCCCCCTGGCCCCCACCCCTGAGCGGTGGGTGGGGGCCCTAAATTAGAATGAGGGGGGAAGACCTAATGTCCTCCCTCTCCAGCCCCCACCCCTGAGCGGTGGGTGGGGGCCCTAAAATACTAATTGGGGGGGACCTAATGTCCTCCCCCCTGGCCCCCACCCGTGAGCGGTGGGTGGGGGCCCTAAATACTAATTGGGGGGGGACCTAATGTCCTCCCCCGGCCCCCACCCCTGAGCGGTGGGTGGGGGCCCTAAATTAGAATGAGGGGGGGACCTAATGTCCTTCCCTGGCCCCCACCCCTGAGTGGTGGGTGGGGGACATAAATAAAAAAAGTCCCCAAACCCCTAGTCACCCCCCTCCCCCAATAAATTAACCCCTACCTACCCCCCCCCAACAACCCTACAAATAATGAGGGGGAACCATGTAACTGGGGGTGGGGGCTCGGGAGGGGGGACCCTGGCTGCTCACTGTTTAATAGACATGCCCCTACTTGCGGTATAGCGAGTAGGGGCACAATTTACTAATACTAAGTAATTTTTACTTAGTATCAATAAATTTGGCTAAAAGACCAATTTAGGTCTTTCAGGCTTTTGGTAGATAACTTCCTTATACCGTGGGAATTAGGGAGTTATCTACTAAGCGGCTGCAAGAGAAGTTCAGAAATTCCGAAGTCCCGAAGTGTTGAAGTGCCGAAGTTGCCGAAGTTCCGAAGTGTCAAAGTGCCGAAATGCTGAAGTGCCGAATTGCCGAGGTCCCGAAGTTCCGAAATTACTGAATTTCCGAAGTGTCGAAGTGCTGAAGTGTCGAAGCGCCGAATTGCCGAATTGCCGAAGTCCCGAATTTCGGAATACCGAACTGAAACTTTTTCTCATGCACATGCCTACTGTATAATCTTACGTGGCGTTTATCAACATATGTACAGTCTCCAAATATTGTAATGTTGGTGTCAACTCTCCCTGTGAATGAAAGTCTACGCTGTCGATCCATTAAACATATTTTCACTATTAGATATAGCTTAACAAAGACCACTATGTCACAATGTTACTACTGTGTATAAGGAACTAATAAAGAGGAATCCTGATCGCCCTTTACATTAAAGGAATTTACCTCCATGAGGACATTGTCCAAAAAGACAACCCCCCTTAGCCATCTTCTAAGCCCTTATTTCTATACTTATCACCTTGCGGCCCATGGATTGAAGCATGAGAGGAGGCTACTTATCACATTGCAGCCCATGGATTGGAGCATGAGAGGAGGCTACTTATCACCTTGCAGCCCATGGGTTGGCGCATGAAGGGAGGTGACTTATCACCTTGCAGCCCATGGGTTGGCGCATGAGAGGAGGCTACATATCACCTTGCAGCCCATGGGTTGGAGCATGAGGGGAGGCTACTTATCACCTTGCGGCCCATGGGTTGGAGCATGAGAGGAGGCTACTTATCACCTTGCGGCCCATGGGTTGGAGCATGAGAGGAGGCTACATATCACCTCGCAGCCCATGGGTTGGAGAACGAGGGGAGGCTACTTATCACCTTGCAGCCCATGGGTTGGAACATGAGAGGAGGCTACTTATCACCTTGCGGCCCATGGGTTGGAGCATGAAAGGAGGCTACTTATCATCTTGCAGCCTATGGGTTGGAGAATGCGAGGAGGCTACTTATTACCTTGCAGCCCATGGGTTGGAGCATGAGAGGAGGTGACTTATCACCTTGCAGCCAGTGGGTTGGAGCATGAGGGGAGGCTACTTATCACCTTGCGGCCCATGGGTTGGAGCATGAGAGGAGGCTATTTATCACCTTGCGGCCCATGGGTTGGAGCATGAAAGGAGGCTACATATCACCTCGCAGCCCATGGGTTGGAGAACGAGGGGAGGCTACTTATCACCTTGCAGCCCATGGGTTGGAGAATGCGAGGAGGCTACTTATCACCTTGCAGCCCATGGGTTGGAGCATGAGAGGAGGTGACTTATAACCTTGCAGCCAATGGGTTGGAGCATGAGGGGAGGCTACTTATCACCTTGCGGCCCATGGGTTGGAGCATGAGAGGAGGCTACATATCACCTTGCAGCCCATGGGTTAGAGCATGTGAGGAGGCTACATATCACCTCGCAGCCCGTGGGTTGGAGAACGAGGGGAGGCTACTTATCACCTTGCAGCCCATGGGTTGGAGCATGAGAGGAGGCTACTTATCACCTTGCAGCCCATGGGTTGGAGAACGAGGGGAGGCTACTTATCACTTTGCAGCCCATGGGTTGGAGTACGACGGGAGGCTACTTATCACCTTGCAGCCCATGGGTTGGAGAATGAGGGAAGGCAGGGATCAGCTGATGAACTCACTCAAATTTACAAAATGTCACATTGAT